TATTTAAATTTTAATAAAATTAACACACTATTATTATTATTTTTTTATTTATAAAAATAATTTTTTTACAATAATTTTTTTTTAACAAAATTTCTATTAAAAACTCTCACCGGAGCATACCTACACTAACTCACCGATTTTTAGGTTGATATCACCAACTTTGCCACGACTAGCATAGGGGCCCACACCTGTCATGCGGAGTTCGGAGTGAAATTCCAAAAACCCAATTCGACGCCCCGGATTTCTCTCCCTGACACATGGATACCAGTACAAAGGTTTGGGCCCCATGCCCACCAACACATTGCTCTCATCATCATAATCTGAAAAAATAAATAAATAAATAATATTTTTACATATATAATTTTACATTTCATTAAAATAATTAATTTTTTTTATTAATTTAAAATTTATAATATTAAATATATTTATTTATTTAATAATATAAAAAATTATCCTATAATATCGTACAATCTGCAACTCTCTTATGTTACGTCAGATCTGATCAGGAAGGAACACTACTACCCCACATACACGAAATCAACGGTCCATGTTAAATTATAAACTTAGATGGGACCCAATGACCCTGCTGCAAAATACAACATTTTAGTAATTTTCTTAATTGCTGTTTTTCGGTGTCTTCAGTTGTAGGATAGATTGCGTGCGATGCAAACGTCATCAGTGAGATCAAGTCCGATGTGACATGATAATGATCACCAAACTCTGGTCCCAATGAACTTTTTTTTTTTAAGGATTTTTTCGATTTATGTTTTTAATATATAGGATAAGAATATTTTTTTATATTAAAAATCGTATAAAAAAGTTAAAATAAATATTAATTTTAATTTTATTATTACATAAATACATTTAATTAAATAATTAATAAATTAAATATTTTTTTATTCTTTAAAAATTTTTAATTTATATTTTTAAAATATAAATTAAAAAACCTTATTTATAAATAACTAATATATTAGTAATTACATTAAAATTTATTTAATTTTAAATCAAGTGGTATCAGCCCACAACTTCCCTAATCAACTTTTTCCGTACTCTGTAATGCAAGCAGCCAGCTGTTTAGCAATTCACCGACCAAACCTGCTTCCGTTTAAATTTTGTAGTTTTAATTTAATT